ACTCCCACTGTTTTAGACGCTTCTTTTTCCTGGTTTTATAGACCAAACACACGCTAATCTCATGTTCTCAAGTGATTTTTCTTCAAGATTTAAAATCCTCAAATGGTAAAATCTTGGAAAAACTGGGTATTTCAGAAGTTTAAGAGTAAGAAAGTTAAGTTAAAATATTAATAAAATGTAAAAATCTCTAATAAGGAGATTTAGTATCTCTAAAAAAAATTTCTTTACTAGCACTAGAAATTATTTTTGTTTTACCTATAAAAGCGATAGGGACACTCAAATGCTAACAGCCTTTTTCTGTTTGATTTTGTGCAGAATTCCCGGGGTAACTTAGGTTTTGAAGGGTAGAAGATCCTTCATGTAGAAAGAACTAACTTTGTTATTAAAATTGGAAAATCAAAATAAGTTAAAGCAAAGGCATTTGAGTAGAGTGCATGTTGCTATTTTAAGCCTCTTAAATTAATGAATTCTAAAAGTCTTTCTTGCTTAATAATTATTAGAATACCTCCTGCAATAGGATTACAGCGTTGATTTCCTTGTTAGTGATCAGCAGGTAATCAGTTTTATAATTCACCTCAATACATATTTGTTGAGTACTGTCCCAGGTGTTAATGCATACTTCAAAATATTTAAGATTCTTGTTGCCTTGAAATATGGACACATCAGCTTTTTTTATTTGGGGGGAAAAATCTACCTTTTGGATATAATGTTCAGAAAGCCATAGATACTTTCTCACCATGGTTATTATTTTATTATTTATTAATGTTAAATATCTAATCTAATATGCTTAAGAACTTTTGCATGTGGAAAATTCTTAAGCTTTTAGATTTGATGTCTAACATTGCCCTGTTATTCTCAATATATTTTTTTGTATTTAATTTTCAAAACATTTTAAAAAGTCTATCTCCTTGTCTTCTGAAGGAAATATTAAAAATGTTAAATTCAGAATTACAAGCAAAGATTTAAAGGACTAGACTTAGAGATGATGCCAAAGGGAGGATATTGATTCAAGTCTATCAGTTTATGAATAGTGTGAAAATGGTAAATATGGACATAGTAAATTCAGAGACTTGAAAGAGATGAATCCACAATAAATAAATGTGAATATCTAAAACAGCAGATGTATACTTAGAGAAATCATGGTTTCAAGAGTGGTACAAATAGAAATTGTGAATAAATAAATGAATAATAGAGAAACTGGGATGTTTGGGGACAGTTCTAACATAGTGATTAATATCCTTATAGATGGCTTCATCAGAAACAGACGATTGCTTCTCCTGTTTTCTAGCATCACTTGTTGGACCTCTTCTCAGCTCTATGCTGTTTAAGAGCGGGAGACCATCTGGAGTTACTTTGCACATGACATTGGGATTGCCATAGCCATCAGTGTGCCAAGCCTTACCCAGATCTCCTTGGCATGGAGGATCAACCAAAAATTATTGGCAATGACTTCCCAGATATTGTTACTTTTGTCAGCAAGAAATAAGAGCAAATCGCAATATAAATTATTACTAGCCATGATTAATAAAAGTAAAAAATGTTTTTCTTCAAAAGTCCTAAATTAAAAGAAGAATGTGGGGAAAACATCCTAAATTCACAAAGTTATAGCATTGAACTGGACAAGGCTGACAAATGGTTTTCCTCCCACGTGTCAATTTGAATTGATTAGCAATGGTCGCTAGGAGTGCTGTGTTGAGGATTTTTGAGGTGAGCTTTGATATCAGAAGGAAAACTGATGGTTCCATTAGCAGTAGGTAAGGAAATCGCAGAATACATGTGAAGTATTTTTCATTTCTTCTTATTCCCTACATGTTTCAGTTGAGGATACTGAAGATCAGAGAAATATATGACTTTCCTCAGGTTCTATGGTTCTGAGAGGGTAAATTGAGATGGCAACTCTTCTAGCTCCTGGGCCAGTGTTCTTTGTTTGGCACATATGTAGCCAATATTCCAGTTAAAAGATTTTCTATATTAATGTATAACATAAATTTCGTCTTTGATTCTTTTGATGAAAAAAAGAAAGAAAACATGAAAGGCATGAAGAATTAAATGGCACCACAGTTATTTTGGTAGGCTTGTTTTTGAGAGATAGATGCTAATGATTACACTTCATCTTTTAAACAGAGTGTGTGTATGTGTAGACACACATCTGTATGTGTGTGTAGTTTACAGTTATAGCAAATATCTTCCTTTCATAACTTTATCTTTTAAGAATAATGGAATAGAAAGAGAACGGGGGAAAATAATGTAAGAAGTATACTATATGTACAGAGACAATGGGAGAGCAAGAAGAGGGGTTAGGAAGCAGAAAGCCCCTGAGAGAGAAACAACTGACATGACGGGAAAGTACAAGTAGAATTTCAGGGCTTTTCTCACGTTTCAGGCATTGGAATGTTTTTTCCCTTTGGTAGTGCCTTCTAGAGTAACAACTTTTCATTCAGCTTTAAGTGGGATACCCTGATGATGTAACGTCTTAGTCCTCTTGTTAGTAACATTGGCTGTTAGCAGCTTAAATGGCATCGACTAATGATTAGAATAGCCCTTGGTATCAGTAGTCTCTTACTCCGATATTGCTGAACATCTAAACCAGACAAAATCTTTAATATTTTATGAGAGGATATTTATTTTCTCTTAAAAAATCAGCTCTAATCTACCAAGCATCATATTAAGTCTCTGGTGAAAACAGTACTTAACAGTACATACTCTGTCTCTCATTCTGAATGCAAAATTATTTTCCCTAATTATTCTTTAAATCTGCTAGCACTTTTTGGTGTGTAGGGAGGTAGATGATACAGAGAAGTGGGGATAGTCTTTCTTTTCTTATTACATCATAGTGATTTCTTAAAAATATCTGCAAAATATTATTTGTATAACTTAGAGAATTTCTCTGCAAAAAAATTTTCACCTTTAGATTTTCATTCTTATTAGATTTGAAAATCCATTCCAAAATAAAAAACATTAATATCTTTTTAATTATTTTAGTGTTAAGCGTGTTATCTTAGTTTAATTAAAATGTGAACCAACTTTAATTAACTTTCAGATATTTCTTTGGAAGAGAGGAATAAACTTTTAACTATCGTGTTCCTCCAAAATGTTGAATTTACCTCTTCATGTTGAATGTGCAACAAATGAGATATTGTTAAAAGTTTCCATTTTGACATAAAACATTTCTAGCAACACTCTGTAGTAGTACTGAGAGTGTTTCCACACCTGTGGAAAGTCTTTTCTGTTAGCCATTCGGCTAGGTCTAAAGGTACAAAATTATTATATTATTTCAAATCTTTGGAAAGACATTTATATTATCTTTTTGGAAGTGGGAAGAATTGTCTTTCTTTACTGTTATTTTTTAAGTTTTAAAATATAATGAACTTCTGAAAGTTTTTGTTTAAAACACTTTCAAAATTAAAATTACTGGAGCTCCTGAGTGGTGCTAATGGTTAATGTGCTCAGCTGCTAACTGAAGGTTACCAGAGACACCTCGGAAGAAAGGCCTGGTGACGTACTTTTTTTTTT